TTAGGGTTTTTGTTGTCTTAGTGGTTCAAATTGTGCATGAGTAAAGTTTTGATTTTGACAAATTCAAGTCAAATTTATTTGTATAGTGCTTTTCACAATACACAATGTTTCAAGTGTTTATAATATCTTAATTTAGTTATGCGTTACAGGCAGATTTAGCAGATTTGAGCTTGGTAATATAGTTTACATGTAGTCAAAATCTTTTGTTTTCTTCCTTTTATCTTTTTTTATCAAATACAACACGTTTATAAAATGTAATGGAAATGTATAAATTTAATATTGGCTGTGTCGTCTTAATTAGGGTTTGATGCTTTGCGAAATTGGTAGATGCAGTTGAACGTTATGAAATCAGACAGACAGTTTTCATGGACTGTGATCTTACAGTTTACACATTTATAACCAAAGTGCATGGAGTGTTGAAATGTTTGCAGTTGGTCTGTGGTTCATTCGCAGAAAGGTCCTTAAATGTTACATTAAATTGCAAGGCTACTCTATTAAAAGTCTTAAAACTGAAAGGTGTTATAGAGAAAAAAAAATGTTCAAGTTGTTGTTGTGATAAGTGCTGTAATAATGCATTGTATTGCAGATGAGATTAGTGCTGCTTATGATGGTTCAGCAGATGCTGATGAGCGTTTTCTTACCATGTTGCATGTAGGAACATGATGTGGAGACTCCATATGGCAGAGTCCACTGTACCATGAAAGGGGTTCCTAAGGGTGACCGTCCCGTCATCCTCACCTACCATGATATTGGACTGAACCGTAAGATTTTATATATTTTAAACATGATAAAACAGTTTAAAATGTCCCCTAAATCTCTTTGTGTTGCTTTACAATACACATTAATCAAGAGGTTCTTCTAAAGGAGATAAATTATGCTTCTCCAATAGATAAAAGCTGCTTTGACACCTTGTTCAACCATGAGGATATGCAGGAGATCATGCAGCATTTTGCTGTGTGTCATGTAGATGCACCAGGGCAGCAAGAGGGAGCAAACACCTTCTCCACTGGGTGAGTTCTGTCATGTGTAGACATATAAGTGGAAATCTTTATTGTAAATTAATGCAGAAGAATAATAATTTACTTTTAATAGATACGAGTACCCTTCCATGGACCAACTGTCTGAGACACTTCCATCAATCCTCAAACATTTTGGGTGAGGTCTTCGTTTCATTATTTAACAGTTTTAGGAACATTTTGGATTATTTTCTATCCTAACTGGTTTTCTTAAACCCCACAGACTGAAGAGTGTGATCGGCATGGCTGTTGGTGCGGGTGCTTATATCCTTGCTAAGTTTGCGGTGAGTTTGACTTCCTTTTTAAGTGATTTAAAATTTTAATGAAACCAGGATAAAGAGCTGAAAGTGTTTCTTTTCCTGTGGATTTTGGCATTCATTTGGCTAGTTTAGCTGCTGAGGAACTCCCCTTGTAAAAAAAAAAAAAAAAAAATCTGCTTGACTTGCATGTTCGTTATTTAATAAATTAGGTTTAGATGTGTTCAGATGTGGTTTACAAATACTGTTTCCTTTTATAGTTGGATCACCCTGCTATGGCGGAAGGCCTTGTGCTGATAAACATCAACCCATGCGCTGAGGGCTGGATGGACTGGGCAGCACACAAAGTGAGTGCTTACCATTTTGTGATTATAATTTATGTAATATTCATCATTTATATAGAGTTTCAAGCTTTTGTGTCTGTCATGGGCTCATTTTTCTTGAATTACAGATCTCTGGTTGGACTCACGCCATGCCTGACATGATCATCTCTCACCTGTTTGGAAAGGTTAGTCAATGTTTGACCCATTCTAGATAATTTTTGAATGGATGAATTTATACTTATTATTTCTTATTATTTCTCCAGGAGGAAATCCAGCAGAACCATGACCTCATTGGCAGATACCGTCACCACATTGCGAATGACATGAACCAGTTCAATCTGCAACTCTTCGTCAAGTCCTACAACAGGTAAACACAACACCGCTACTAAAACATCTTGATAGTTATTTTAGTGTTGATATAACATTTAATTAATATTTTCATCCACTTCACAGCCGAAGAGACCTGGAAATCGAGAGGCCTGTATCTGGTGGCCATGTCAATGTCAGAACTCTAAAGTAAGTCTAAAATTGTCCCCAAAAATACTCTAGACAATGGGGGACGGATTTCCTGTAGTAATGACTTGGTCGCTCTGTTTTCAGGTGTCCTGCACTCCTGGTAGTTGGAGACAGTTCCCCAGCAGTGGATGTTGTGGTAGGTTTAAGCTTAATTTAGGACTGATTCACTTCATTGTTATTGCTAGACATTTTATAAGTATTTTTTTATTAAAAACCTTTAATCTTGCACACTGTTGCTCCACACTTCATATCTGCTGCATGTGTATTTAGTGGTTTAACACGTGTTTTCTGTACAGGTTGAGTGCAACACAAAGCTGGACCCGACCAAAACCACACTGCTTAAGGTGAGTGGACTCCATTGAAGCTGGCATGTATTTATAGCCCACATGGAAAAGTCAAGCACTGATAAGATTCTGATAGCTCCGCATTATCTAGTGACTAATTTACCCAGGTAGTGCAGAAGCGGTCCACGCTGTCCAGCTCCAGGGCTGAACCCTACCTCTGCTGACCTAATTTTCCACAGCTCACCCTCAGGTGGACTAAGAATTAGGTGTATGGCGTCTGAAATGGCCTATTAACCACCGATAAGTAAAAATAACTTTAAAATCAGTGGAGTTAATGGAGCGCTAGGTGTTTTAGACACCTGTGTGAATGGCAGAAACAGAAAGCAGTGACGCATTTGTTTTTCATGCATTTTAAGTAACATTTCTATGTCCCTTCTCTTTCTTCAGATGGCTGACTGTGGAGGCTTGCCCCAGGTCGACCAGGTGTGTATTTATAGCCTTTATGACCATTCAGATTCATTTATAAGTTTGCTCAGGGCACAGGATGATCATGAGGGATGAAGTGCGCCATAATCTCATTACGAACAGCTATGGCATATAGTTCTCAGTTCTAATACTCTGCTCGCCACCTGCTGCTACCAGCTGTTAGAATCCATCCGGTTTCACAACATATGCTTAGGGAAATCTGTTTTCCACCTTGACCTGATTAGCTGTTTTTGCAGTCAAATAAACTAATTTCTGCTTTTATTGTCTTCTTAGCCTGGGAAGCTAACAGAGGCTTTCAAGTACTTCATTCAGGGCATGGGTTACAGTAAGTATTGATATTGTCTTTTTGTTTTATATAGTCTCTATTTGACCATACAGCTTTGTCTTTATAAGGAATACCCATGGTACATTGCCTGAAAACCTTTGTTCACGTAAAATTAACATAGAACATTAGCAAATAGCAATAAATATGACTGGACTGTGCTGCCCTCTAGTGGTGAGATTTAATTTTCAACCTGACTTGCTCAACTTGAACTTTTTCTTAAAGCAAAATGTCTAATTTATAAACAACTGCAAAAACTGCTGTTCTTTGGAACTTTCTATTCATCAAAGAATTCAGAAAAAAAAGTGTACAAAAATATTAAGTAGCACAGCTGTTGTCAAAATAAGAAATGTTTCTTGAGCACCAAATCAGCATATTAGAGAGATTTCTGAAGGATCATGTGACACTGAAAACTTTTAAGTAATGCCTGCTGAAAATGCAGCTTTGCATCACAGGAATAAATGACATTTTAAAATATATTCAAATAGAAACAGTTATTTTAAATTGTGATAATATTTCACAGTATTACTGTTTTTACTGTATTTTTTTGTTTGAATAAACGCAGACTTGGTGAGCATAAGGGACTCTTTCAAAAACATAAAAAAAATCTTACCAACCCCAGTTTTTTGAACAGTAGTGTACATAGTCATATCAAGTATTGTAGCAAAATACACTAAAAATACATTAAAAACATACACCGCAAATGTAAAAAGCTTTAAAATAAGTATCCTAATCTGTCTTCCTCTGCTTCTTAGTGCCCTCTGCCAGCATGACCCGCCTAGTCCGTTCTCGCACAGCATCCGGCTCCAGCGTCACTTCCTTTGATGGCAACCGCAGCAGGTCGCACACTAACGAGGGCAACCGCAGTCGCTCCCACACCAACGAGGGCCGTGCCCGAGCCCACACCTCAGACAACCAACGCACACATTCGCACACTGACAACATGGACAGTTCTGTGGACCAGGCTCCCAAGTCCACCGAAGTGTCCTGTTAGACTGGTGACCTTGTCTCCGGTCCATCTCACATATGCATTAACCTTTCTGTTCTGACTGTGCTGCGCTGCCACTAACTACACACGCAACAGGACCACCGCATGCCGCTGTGCTGTTTCCCTCAGGGGTCTTGCACCATTTTATTTGTCAGAGGGCATTTATGCCAAAGTGTCTTGTGTTTAAGACTATATTTCCTGGGGAAATGCTGAGGAAGGAGTGGATAGAGTGGATGAAGGACAGGATGATGGAGTTATTTCTTTTTTTTTTTTTTGCACCCTGCGCTATGGCTGTCTTGTTGTTGTTGTTGTTAGAGGCAATGCAGCACAGAGATATTTTGATGGTCATTATCCAAGTAAGCTAGGCACTGAGAAGGGCACATTTGTACATTTATGTTAATCTCTAGTCTGCAATTGATTTTCTTTTGTCAAGTTATTATACCACTTTTATATGCTAGATTAAGTGCATAATTAAGTGTATAATCTGTATATGTTGAAGTAGACATCCAGTGAATGGAAAAGGGATTGGTTGACCACAGAGTAGAGATGGTGGTATTTTTTCATGATGCTAGCCTACCTTATAAAACTAAGGTATAAGCTCATAATTTGTTTATTTGAATTTTCCTTGTTGGGAGTGTTCCATTATTTTGGGTTACATTTGTAACTCAGTGATTGATGCTCTCGAAAGTGATTTTAAATGATTTTTACAGGATCATGTTTTAAAAAAATCTTTATTTTAAATTCAACAAAACCAATTTGTAGATATACGAATACAGGAAAATGACTGTATATGAGTGATATTTGTTGTTTTTTGTTTGTAATGATGATGATGATGATTTCTATGCAATCAAGCACAACAGAACAAAATGTGCCATGGAATCCTCTACTTGGACTGGATGCTTCTTTTCTCAAGGCTTTGAAAGAGTAAAACGAAGGATCGCTCAGAAAAAGATAATATAAGCAACTCACCTGCTCTTTCACACACCGGCGCTGCCACTAACTACACATGCAGCAGGACCGCCGCATGCCGCTGTGCTGTTTCCCTCAGGGGTCTTGCACTGTTTTATTTGTCAGAGAGCATTTATGCCAAAGTGTCTTGTGTTTAAGACTATATTTCCTGGGGAAACTCTAAGGAAGGAGTGGATAGAGTGAATGAAGGACAGGATGATGGAGATATTTCTTCTTTTTTGCACCCTGCGCAATAGCTGTCTTGTTGTTGTTAGAGGCAATGCAGCACAGAGCCATTTTGATGGTCATCATCCAAGTAAGCTGGGCACTGAGAAGGGCACATTTGTAAATTTATGTTGATCTCTAGTCTGCGATTCATTTTCTTATGTCAAGTTATTATACCACTTTTACACGCTAGTTTAAGTACATAATTAATTTGTATAATCTGTATATGTTGAAATGGACCTCACTGAATAGAAAAGGGATTGGTTGACCACAGAGTAGAGATGGTGGTATTTTTTCATGATGCTAGCCTACCTTATAAAACTAAGGTATAAGCTCATAATTTGTTTATTTGAATTTTCCTTGTTGGGAGTGTTCCATTATTTTGGGTTACATTTGTAACTCAGTGATTGATGCTCTCGAAAGTGATTTTAAATGATTTTTACAGGATCATGTTTTAAAAAAATCTTTATTTTAAATTCAACAAAACCAATTTGTAGATATACGAATACAGGAAAATGACTGTATATGAGTGATATTTGTTGTTTTTTGTTTGTAATGATGATGATGATGATTTCTATGCAATCAAGCACAACAGAACAAAATGTGCCATGGAATCCTCTACTTGGACTGGATGCTTCTTTTCTCAAGGCTTTGAAAGAGTAAAACGAAGGATCGCTCAGAAAAAGATAATATAAGCAACTCACCTGCTCTTTCACACACACTAAAACAAATGCTTGCAGCTTGGTAAGGCACCCTGCTTTGTAAAGATGTAAAACAATCTGATGCACTGCATTTTTAATGGAATAACAGTTTGTATTTATTTAAAAAAAAAGGAAAATAAAAAGCTGGTTACTTAACCTTTTTTGTCTGTGTTTATTAGATAATTCAATGAGAACTGTCTATACAAAACGTTACAGTACGTGTAAAACCAAACTTTATAAGGCAAAACTCACTCCAAGAACTAGTGTAATTTAAGAGCATAAATGTGGAAAAGGCATGACATTACAAAAACTTAATTATCAATACATAAAAGCAATATACATTTCTTTTTTATATAGACTTTGTATAAATTAAAGATTTTAACTACAGAAGTCAATATGATATTGTCTTTTTACATACCCATAGTTACATCATTTGTACAAAAGGATTTATTTGTCACAATATGACAAAAAAATTAGATAATCTTGGTTGAAATAACTCACAGTATATGAACAATTTGGTTGCAATAGGCCACATAGTCTTAAAATAGAATATATTAGGATATATTGGTTTATTTCAGTTTTTCCAATAGGAAAAAGTCTCATATAATAAAAAAGGCCAAATATGATGGTCAATTAAATAATAACTTGCTCAGAAAATTAAAAAATAAAATCTATGACTTTCACTCAAATCTTTCTATTGACTTTTCTGCAAGGTCTCATACATTCAGTTTCCAACCTCACCTTTCACATGGTACTGTTCTAGATCTGTAAATATGTCATTAGGGTTTTTACAGCTCAGGTTGCAGAAGCAGGCGTTAATCCACATGACCTGCCAGCTGAAGCCAGATCTGTTCGGGCACTGAAAGTCAACCTCAACAGTCTTAGATTTGTAAGGGATGCAGCACCGCTCATCTATACACACTCCACAGTACTTGGGCCAGTAAGTGTTTGTACTGGTGCAGCCTGAGATAGTGAAGTTGTGTGGCTTTTCCTCCCTGTAGACGTTCAAGCACTTCTTTCCAGGCTTATGGAGAAATGAAAAAAGGGCCAAAAAGGCACAGGGTCAAAATTTATTTATATCCTTTTATACACTACAGTCATTCATGTCACTCTCAAATGCAAAATTAATATTACATTGAATCTGATGTTTATGTTCTTGATATACCTTTGATGTGCTTTGTGATGTCCACTTTGCAAGGCCGGATGTTGCAGAGTCTGCTCTCTTTGACCATCTGGCACTGCTTGTTGTTGTTAGTAATGCGTAAAGACACTCCACGGCCGCAGGTCTTTGAGCAGGGACTCCAGGAGGTTGTTTGGGTCACACAGTTCTTGTGCCAGTTGTCCTTTACACTAGACAGGGCTGTAAGAATGCAAAGACAATGAATGCTTTCTTCATTTCTGAGTTTCAGAAAATATCACCGTTTCCTGCTTTTAACATTGATAATAAAAAAAGAAATGTTTCTTGAGCAGCAAATAAGCATATTAGAGTGATTTCTGAAGGATCATGTGACACTGAAGACTGAAGTAATGATGCTGAAAATGTAGCTTTGCCATCACAGGAATAAATTACATTTTAAAATATATTACAATAAAACAGAGCTATTCTAAATTGTAATATTTCACAGTATTACTATGTACTTTTGTTTGAATAAATGCAGCCTTGATGAATGTAAGAGACAAAAACATTTTAAAATCTTGTGCGTGTGTAGTGTAGTGTAACATTACAAAATCTTACTAATCCCAAACTTTTGTACATTTACATTTTTGAAAGAAAAATCCAGAATACATTTTTCCAGAATAAAAAATAAAAATGCTATTTGTGGCTTTTTTCTCACAATTCTGAATTGATATCTAGAATTTTATATCAGAATTGTAAGAAAAGTGTTACAATTGTACAATATCACAATTGTGTGATAAAACGTCCCAATTACCAAGATTTCATAGATAAATGTGACCCTGGACCACAAAACCAGTCTTAAGTAGCTTGGGTATACTTTTAGCAACAGCCAAAAAAACATTGTATGGATCAAAATTATCGATTTTTCTTTTATGCCAAAAATCATTAGGATATTAAGTAAAGATCATGTTCCATGAAGACATTTTGTAAATCTCCTACCGTAAATATATCAAAACTTAATTTTTGATTAGTAATATGCTTTGCTAAGAACTTCATTTGGACAAATTTAAAGGCGATTTTCTCAGTATTTAGATTTTTTTGCACCCTCAGATTCCAGATTTTCAAATAGCTGTATCTCGGCCAAATATTGTCCTATCTTAACAAAGCTTATTTATTCAGCTTTCAGATGATGTATAAATCTCAATGTAAAAAAATTGACCCTTATGACTGGTTTTGTGGTCCAAGGTTACAAATGTCTTAATTTGTTGTTCTTTATCTCAGACATGTAAACACACTTCAGCTGAACCTCTAAATGCAATTTATGATGCCATTTGTAATTGGAATCGATGCAGCTTAATTAATCGCCCACATACTACTGTATCTCAGAGTAATGAACCAGTTCTAATTACACTTTCCTGCATATATCAAATTATGATAGCTATAGACTTGTTGTCAGCTCATGGGTCTCATTTTGTACTGGACAATTATTTCACATCAGGTCAAGAAACAAATAAAGCTAATGGGTGGATTTATCATAAATATTAAAATTTTAAGTTTTCCAATTTTACCTAAGCTTACTTTTTCACCTCATCAGTCACTTTTTATTTTATGGTAGGTATCTAAATGTTCAAACACGTGTAAATAACGGGGTTTTGGATGACAGATCATGTTGATAAATGATTTTAGCAGGCACCTCTTTACGTCAACTTCTTCAGGCCCTCAGGTTCGATTAACAAGATGATTGATTGATATGGCAACAGACTTAAGTAACACACCACACACAAAGTAAACCGGACTGGTGGCTTACAGCTCCAGGGCTCCATAACCTTTTATAAGCTTAGCAGCAGATATGACAGCCAAAGTTGCATAAATTTAAGGCAGGTTAAGTACGCCCACTGGGTGACAGTTCTAAGTATCAAAGAGGGTGGCTGTCTTGTTCAAAGACATAATGAAGGGAACTCAGTTTTAAAGCATTTCCAGTGAATCAAACCAATAAAGGATATTACGAGTCTGAATACTAAATTTTGACGTTAATTTCAGTCCACAGGGAGGCAGTATATTCTCACACATGAAATTTGTTGTTAAGAAATTGCATTCCTTAAAATGCGTGAAACATGAGGTCATTGAATGCTTGCCACATATAATTAAATGATCATCTATAGAGCATTTAAATTTGAATTAATCAAGATATGGTAAGAATTTAATGTGGAAAAGAGGGGGATTAGATGCAAATTAGATGCACTGATGCAAATGCTGTTACATAAACCTCTGATAAGGTGTCTCATTTTCACTTTGCTAAAGAGTACAATATACTTGAAGAATTGGATTTTGAAATGCTCTATTTCATTATGTGGTTTGTTTTAAATTTAATTTTTCACTTGAAAATGTTATGTGCAGGCACCAAGCAACCTTTTACAGTATGTTAATGCAAAAGCAAATAGGCTATTAATCATTAAAAATAGCATTTTAGGTCAAAGATACAGCTTTCCACCGCATGTTAAACTGTCTTCTAAACTGTCTTAAATTAGCCTAAACTAAGCGTGGCGTTTTACTTATGCATTAATTTCATCTAATAATTCAGATACTGTAATAAAATGAATAGACATAAATAAATAAAGAAATATATATTTCTTACCTGTGGTACACAAGCAAATAGTATAACCCACATCAGAAGCCAAGTCATCACTGATCCCGCGTGATAAATGCACTGAATCCAGAATTAGATGTTTCTTGAAAAATCGCCCATACGAGAGCAGGATCCATTAATTTAGTGAGCTGAGAGCAGCACACACACACAAACACACACACGCACCTTGATACTGCTGCTGTAAAGTTTTCATACTCAGGATCCCTAATGACGTCAGAGCCAATGACAACCCCACCGCAGGCAAGGAATTAATCACGTGATTTGACCAAACTAGAATTTTAGGTTGACTATTCATTCTAAGTTTAGATGAGCGAACTGTTGAGGTTCTAAGCTTGACGTCTCATCGCATCTTAAAACATAGTTTTGACATAGTTGTTATAGCATATGTGTAATGTAAAAAATACCGAGTTTTGCCGATAAAGCGCAGCAAAATGTTGCTATGGTTACCCCAAAGGCTAAACGTGCATTTTGTTGGCTAGCATCGATTGCAGCAGCTCTGACTTGTAATTTTTGTGGTTACGGAAATGTTGTTTGCAGTTTTTAAAACTGTTGAAACGTAACGTTACATACATAGGCCTACATGTATTGAGTCATATGAACATAGCTCAAGCCCTAACTCCAAAATTCGTACCCTGAGAACATTAAATGGATGCACGGAAGCACATTTTGCCTTTCTCTGTGAGAGCCTTCCTTTCTAAGAAAAAAGATAGATGGATTGGACTTAAACAGAAAGAGAGCAAAAGTTGCTCTTTTCATACCCTGATATACCTAATGGATTTCACTTTGGCAGAGTGTACAAAATGCCATTCTGAAGTTCAAATATCACTGTTTTCCCCAAAGAGTGCTGTATTTAATGTCTCTGGGGAATACATTATAAAACATTGTCTTTGCATATATGATCACTTTAAGGTAGACTTGAGTTTAAGTAGCACTTTAAATAGCACTTTATGCCACTTGATGGTCAGATGAAAATCATAACCACACTGATGACATCATTGTTTCTTGTCAATAAATGCCTTTATTTAACTAAATGGAATCTACTTGTTATATTGTCTACGTAGCTAAAAGTCAATTGTTGTGTGATGCTTTATTCTTGGGAAATACAAGGATGAAAAACTAATGAACACGTGAGAACAAAGAGGCTGTTATTTCTAACACAGAGCTACACAAAGTTACAAACTTGCTGGCAAAGTCAATGAAGTGTGTTAGGTTTTAAGAATAGGCAGGTGCAGACATGCTCAACTTAAAGATCTGAGTGTAATAGTTCTGCTTCAAAAGGAAAGTGCATTTTACCCTTTTAAGAGATGAATTGTAATATATGGGTGTAAAGTTAAACATGTTGTAAACTGTCATTCTCAAGTCATGCCTGATATAGTAGCCTTTGTG